CTTTTTAGCCTCTGGCCGCTGCATGACGTGTGGCAGCACGTGGGTTTCACCACCCACTGCCCATGGGCTCCTCGGGGAGGTCCAGGCACAAGCGGAGGGCTGAGATCCCTAGGCTGGGCCCAGGCAGCATGTGGGCGCTGCGTGGGTCAGTGACCCCCCCAGCTGGGGATACACTGCAGGGGGCCTCCCTCACACCCGGACACGGGCTGGGGCCACGCCTCCAGGTGCAGCAGCCAGCTGAGAGGCCCCTCCAGGCTGGCCGATGTGGGGGCCGGGGCAGCTTGGTAGCTCCCTTCAGGCTCTGCCAAGCTTAGCCCAATTGGAGGAACGTCCCGTCGCCCCTGTGTCTCCTGGAACCTCCCCCCCTCTGCACAAGGCACCCGGGGGCAGGGCCAGGCCTGCGGGCACCGCCAGGCAGTGGGGCATCCGATGACTGCGCCTAGCAGCTCAGTGGCCAGAGGGGCGCCCGGGGAGAGGGCATGGGAGCATAAGAACACACAGCAGCGTGGCACCTGTGACTGCAGCAAAGCCTGTACCCAGTGGCCCTAGTGGGGTGTCTAGGAAAAGCTGCTGGCAGTGGCCCCTGGGAGCTGCCAGCCCCCACCCGAGGAGTTTTGGGGCCTTTCAGACCAGGCCCGGGCAGGGGGCTTACTTGTGTGGCCATCCTGGGGGACAGTCCCCCACCGTGAGAACCATGGAAGTCCCCTGACGCCAGCCAGGGTCTACCATGGACCCTGGAAATCCCGCACTTCTGTCTTCAATCTGGCCTCCCCGCTCCAGAGGCTCTCTGCTAGGAACAGCAGCCCTGAACACGGCTCCGAACAATCCCTCCAGTGCAGAGCTCAAAGGACCGTGTCACGGCAGTAAAGCCTAGTGGTTACATGTACTGCAGGCTCTGTGGGGCAAAGCTTGTAGAGACGGTTTATACGGCAGGGGAGCCAGCATGTAACCTGCAGTGGGGGGCTAGGCCTGCCCCAGACACGGGCTATGAGACAGAGTCCTTGGTCCTGAGACCGGAGGCAGCCGGCGTCTCCCCGCCCCCTGCCGCCCCC